CCCTCAGAGCTGACATGTCTCAAACAAGGCCAGCTTCCTGATCAGCTATTTCTTCTCTTCTAGCTCTGTTATGGGATCAACCCTCTCAGTGCTGCCACACTTGACCCCTTGTGTCCACTGACCCTCCCTCTTCCTCACTTTTATTTGACCAAGTCCTGTGTTCCTGCCTCTAAAATGCCTGATCGGAATAAGTGCTACTCTTTCTCATTCCCACTGCTACTCCTTGAATTCAGGCTTCATGGTCTGGGGTCAGTGCCATTACCTTAGTCTCCCCACTGGACTGGATAACCCTGCCTTTCTTCCTCCAGTGGGTCCTCCAAGGTGCCATCAAACTGCACATCTGTCCTCATCAACTCCCAACTGGAAACCTTCAGAGTTCTCTCTTGTTTAAACACCTGGGGGCTGTGGGAGGGCCTTCCAGTGGTCCCAGCTCTCCCGCATCTCCCAACTCTCTGAGTCACTATGCTGCTGAGTCCCTGCACCCTGGGCACCTTCATGCCTTCTAACAGGACTCCACCTTTGGCTCCTGTGCCTCCCGAGGCCTGGAATGCATTCCTCCTCATTTCCTGGCAAACTCCTGTCCTTCCAGGTGCAAATTTAACATCCCCTTCTTTGCCCCACACCCAGGCATTGGATAGTCTTGTGTCCCAGTTTTGGTAGCACCCTATACCTTCCCACCTACTTTCCTCCCAGGGTTGTAACTCTTGCTTCTGAGAGTCTGGGCTCCCTCAGGGGCTCCAAGTCCTTTGAAGGCAAGGCCTGTGTCTTACTGGTTTCTGTAAACCAGGTGCCGGGCCATAGTAGTTGCTTAGTAAATGTGAGTCAACAGAGGACTTCTTTCTCTTATAGTGAGCTGTACCTACTCTCTTCTGGCAGAAGCTGGAGGTAACAGAAATGCTGGCCATGAGGTGAGGGGCAGAGGGTACCTGCAGGGGGCTTTAATGATCACTAGTTCCAACTCCATCCATGCTGGCCTCCCATCCTTGGTTCCTCATCCCAAGAATGATTTCCAGCTGCTGCTGAGCACCCCAGAACCTCCCATAGGGGTTTCAAGACATGAAGGAGGGTCCCCTGAGTGACCGGCTTGTGGCGTTCCTTCCAAATCTTGTTGTTTGAAGAAACAGAACTTGCCTAATGAGCTAGAGGCTTACACTGTATGGCTGCTGGTGGGGGACAGTGATGGCGCTACAGAAGAACTCCCTTTTCTCACACTCATGTGTATGCTGAGAACTGGGTGTAAGATCTCTCCCTTGGAGAAGAACAGTAAAGGTGAGCAGTGTATTCTGATGAAGGAGAAGTCCAAGAGTAGTGGCCGAGAGGTCAGTTCCATGCTGGGTGGGTGGGACCAGGAAAAGTGTCCTGGCCATGCTGCAGGTGGGGGTGGGATGGTATTTGGTTGCTCCTGTCAAAGGGACACAGTTGCAACTCAATCCTGATTTTCAGTACAAATAAAAAGTTGGCACAGAACCCTAAAATGATTTGATTTCTGACCTCCAGGTGACATTCTCTTCACCAGCTGCTACCCATCCCCTCTCACGAACAAAGTCCTGGCACGGACAGGCCTTCACTCCCTCCCTCTATGGTCATCTTTGCAGGCAAGTCAATCTTTACCTCCCAGACCCTGTCCCCTCCTGCCTTCCACTGTTTGGCCTTCCATGGGTGCCCTGGAGACCTGGCAGCTGTCAGAGGACATTGGGGCCTTCTTGGGACTCCTCCTGCTTCCTCCCAGTGACCATACCTCTGCTACAGTGTTCCCTGCATTCCAGGGCAGGATAGAAGTTCCTCCTCAAGCTCCACTTCTTCCCCAGCCTGCAATTCCATCCCCATAATGCACCCCGTCTTCCTTTTAGGAAGCCCTTGCCATTTCTGCCATTGCTCTTCGAGGGGACTGTGCCCGAGAACACAGCCACCCCTTTAGTGTCCAGGGCACCTGCTGAAAGTCAGCCTCCCTTTCTTGTCCCCCTGGTGGCACCCTGCAGAACTCCCTGCCCCCCATGGCCCTCTGAGCACTTTCATTTCCAGTCTGCTGTCCCTCTTCGCCCCACTGTGCATGATTCTTTGGCTCTGAGGCCCTGAGAGGGTTCCAGTGTGCTCCTACCACAAGTTTTGTGGCACCACCAGGCTCAGACCTGCTTGACCCAAATTCCTGGTCTTCCTCCTTTACTTTTCAGCATGTCCTGTTTCCTCCGAGAACTGCCTGTGGCCCATCCTTCTATTGAGCTGCTTGTCTTTTTTGCTTCAAGTTGTGGGCACACATTGTGAAATTAGGATGCTAATCTAATTTCAGATTCTTCCTCCTGCCCCTTGGGGACTGATTTCCTTCTCCTTGCAGGCCTGCTTTGGATTCAGTATTTGCCTAGACTCTCCAAATTATAAGCAACCAGACAGGTCAGGGACTACGCCACTGCCCCTCCTGCTGGAGGCTGCCTGCCACCTGGAATGAGATGTCCCCTGAGAGGAGGTGCCCTTGGGTCTAGCACTCTGCCTGTGAAAAAGGGCTCCTTTTCTCTAATTCACTTGGTCATCGCTTGGCCTTAGTTCCATGCCCTGCACTGACGCAGAAGGCTGGGGGCAGCCTTGCCACTACAGGAAGACAGGGAGCCTTGTTTCTTCTTCCCCAGCTCACATTTGGACTCCCCAGCATTCTGCCTATTTCCAAAGTGCACACTCCCCTGGCCCTGCCTTCCTCTCTGTCCGTTGGGCAGCTCTGGTTGGCTGTGTCCCTCTCAGCACAGCCCAGATCGAGTGGCCCAACCTGAGAGCACTACTTAATTCTGGTTTGGTCTCCCTAAAACTCCAAGGCTGTGGAAAGAAGCTGCACTACAGGGAT